GGGGAGAGGTAAATGGTGTACACTTAAAAGATTTAGTATATTAGCATATTCTGGAAAGGAAGAAGTTAATACTACATTAAATTGTAATATCAGCCCAATAAAAATTTTATCTGCTATTATTGATGATGACGTTTTGGACCTAATTAGAATTCATACCAATATTTAGGCTTTAAGAAATACGAAGGATAAATGGATACTGATTGCGAATAATATTGAACTTGCGAGTATTGCGATCGTTATTCTCATGGGCCTTGTAGTATATTAAGAATATCTGAGTACGACACCTGCATTTCTCTGATAACAGCACGAATGATCCCAATGGTCGACTAGCCAAAATTAGACCACTATTATCCGTTCACAAATTGTTGATAGCACGAAATGTGCCTCAAAGTCATAAAACGGTCGTAAAATTTGTATCATTATAGGCGTTCCTGAGGTGTCTATTCATTAAAATTAATATTAATATTAATAATGTTTTAATACTAATATATTTAGCAAAAAACAATTAAAACTTTCACGGCTTATGTTGGATATTATATTATACATATTAATAAAGATAAGAATTTAACCATTAACAATTTTGTAAATAAGAATACCTTATCTCTTTGGATATTTCAATACTAATCTTCGCGTTTAATCACTTTACTAGAAACCTGGAATTCATATCCGAAGGTACTATTCATTGCAAGATAATTAGGATGGAATTCCCCAGATTTTTAATAATATAATGGGTATAAAGATGCTGGCTTTGGCCACGTGCCTCGTCTGTTCAGTTTATATTCGTAACCTAACTTGAAAGAGTGAAGTTATTACGAACGAAAACAATGTTTTTTGTTTAGTACGTTTTTGATCGCTTGTAATTTACGGCTCGTCGGTATTTCCGCGTCTATGGCAGTACTTAGCGTCTCGAATATTTCTTTTGCGAATTATATGCAGTGCGTGAGTGATTTTTTATTCCATATACCTACGAACATATACGTACCTTTCGCAGTCGCTATTTTGGAAAAATCAATGTTAGGTATTACCATTAAAGATAAAGCACAAACCTAGAAATATGAAGAAGAACAGGAATCACCGATGTAATTGAAAACGTAGCCATTGCTAAATGGGCTTGGGGCGGACATGTTGCCAGATTTACGAATAATAGATGTAACAGAAAGATTCTGAAATAGTAACCAAGACAAGAGGCATATCGAACAAGGGGAAGACCACTGACTAGATGGACGGATGATGTACAGCGAATCACCAAAGAATGGATGCAAGAAGCTTAAGGTAAAAATGGATGAAAAACTTTACGGGAAGCGTAAGCTCAGCAGTGGAAAAATATAGGCTAGTTGAATGTCTCATCATCTGCATACATTAATCATCAAGAAATATCAGCTTTACGGATCTTATAAAAAGTCTAAAGAGAACAAAAAAATACGAATAAACAAAATTGGACAAAAAAGAGGAAAGACAATTGAAGAAATGAGAATAATTAGTGCAGAACCGAATAACAGAATTAAGTTATAAGAAACAAGCAATAAAATAAAAAAATCCGACGCTAAAACACATAGGGATTAATGCGAAGAAGAATAAATATGTCATCTTGGAATTTCTCTGTTAGCTAATTCAAAACTAATTACTGTTTTAATGGGAATAATCCACAACTAAAGTTTAAAATAAGTTTGTTGACGTGTCAATTTCCGAAGTGGAACTTATTTTAGTAGTTAGAACTTTAAAATTGTGTTTAACAGTAATTACTTTAAGATACCGCAAGAAAATAGCTTCAGAACAATATTAATTAAATTAAATAAGAAATAAAGACCTGTCCTGTTTTTTGCTCTTGAGATTTTATCACAGGAGATGACAGCATTTAAGTCACACAGTATTCATAAATATATATTCACGAGTAAAAAGTTGATGTTGGGCAGAATAAACATAATCAGTTATAATCCACCTTGTAGACGACCGCTAAGCTCTGTAAATTATCCCTCCAAATGTAGTCGATCAATCAAAACTCATTACCGTGTATTAAGCAGTTACAAAATGGATCACTGTTAAGTCTAATAAAAAAATACATCCATGTAGAATTATATCTTAATGCCAAGTCATCTGAACCACTGACAAGAATCAATTATATCGTAATCGGAGAATCAATTTGAGTTCCAATGTAATTGTAATTGGAGGAATTCCTGTTGGTTACACAACGGTGAGAAACGCATTTTTAACTCGATTGTATTTAGATAGAAAACAAGTTATATTAGTCGCAAAAGAAAATAAATAGCTTGTGAGATAGGAGTATAAAGAAGATAATAGTAAAATAACAGCAAAAAATATCTTAGTCATTAATAAGTTTTCTCTGTAGAGTTAATAACATTTTTCTCTTTATCTATCTCTATAAAACTAACTTTTTATTGTTTTTGTTTATGACTACAATTTTGGACCAAGTTTTAACAGAGATCTTTTTATTTATTTATTTATTTATGTCTCAACCTTATAGGATCATTCGCGTTGTACAATTTAAAGTTTTACAATTTATTTAGTACATTTATGGAATATAACTATGATGTCAACTCTGTTTTTAGTCTTTCTATCTGGAGATATCCATGTTTCCTTGTGTATTTCTTTTCTTTCGAAATATGTGCTCATTATGATCATATTTTTTCTCTTGCGAAATCCATCAGAAATTGTCCATTCTCATTAGTTTCATTGTGTTTACTATATTTTCCTATTGTCGGTCTTAATACTTTTTCCTTCCCTATTTTGGCATTTGCGTCGCCTAGAATAATTTTCATATCATATCTGGGTATATTTTCGATTGTTCTGTTTAATTCACTGTAGAAACATTCTTTAACATCATTATTTTTTCTGAAGAATACAACTACTTTAATTTATATTATTTATTTACAATATTTATTTACTGTTACAATTATATTTCGGACTGACCTTTTTTTCAATCAAATGTCCCATATATACCAAACAACCGCTATTCCGGAATTCCGGCGACCCCTTTCGTATAGACTAGGTCACGCCAGGTCGACAGGTTTTTAGCTGAGAGGAACCCGTTTGTCTAGAATTTCTGCCTGCTCCGATCGGAACGCTGGTGTATGATCTGGCAAATACTTGAATGGAATAGAATTAGTAATAATATGTTTACAGATTTATGAGTCATTATTTATCGTAACAATCTTGTCAGAAATTGTTATTACAATCGGAAAGTGGTCACTATCAATTAAATCAGAAAGTACATCCCAAGATGCACTGATAGAGGTCGCTGATAATGCTGGATCACATATTGAAAGGTCTATGGCCGAGGATTTACCAGTAGAAATGTCAAAATGAGTATTTCTTCCAACGTTTAGTAGGTTTAACTGAAAATTGCCCAACAATATTTCGATTCTACGACCTAATGGAGTAATTTTTTGATCCCCATATGAAATTATGTGCATTAAAATCACAGAGATCTTTTATTATGAATAAATAGAACATTTATAATATATAAGAAATTATGAATTTTTAAATTTATCTCATCTAATATAAACGAGTAGATTAAGAATATCAATGGCTTTTTCCAATATTTTTGTCATAAGATTCTATCAGATAATAATTAAATAAATCGAGAAAGCAGGCGGAAAAACAATAGGATTGTGTAATACAGTGCCACTGGCAAATACTAAAAATAAGATCATAAGAAACCAGAGGGATTATATAACAAATATAGTCCAGAGAAATAAGTTTTTTTGGGACACTGACCTAGCCAGGATGCAAATTTTTTTTTGTACTATACCTAATACATATCGGGTGGTCCAATAGGCCGATCTCTCGGCTATATATCAAAAACTATTTATGTTATAACTTTAGAATAAAAAAATTTCTTAGTAAAAGTGGCCAAGAGAAATCGCTGGAATACGTTTCAAGTTTCTAGGTTAACCGCTAGGGGGCGTAACCTGCGAAGAAAAATTTTAAAACCAGTTTTTTTATGAAATATGCTTAATTATACCAAGTGTTAAATAAGTAAACTAGAAAGTTGTTTAAGTACTTTTTTTGTATTTTTTTAAATAAAGGTTGTGGGAGAGTGGGAAAGTATTTGTGGATAAATACCTATAACTTTGCTTTGGGTCAACCGATTTTAACGATATTAGTATCATTAGAAAGAGTGTGGATGAATTAATTTACAACTACTATAAAATAATGGCATTTAGTTTTAATTGTCGTAGGTAGACTATACTTTCGAAAGGAAAAAATTAAAATTTGTTTTTCTTCAAAATGTTTAACGGAAACACCTATTTATTGTAAATTGTAATGGAACTGGATTAAATTCGTAACAAAATGGCGCAAACCGCATGTTAGTGGCTTTTGTCGAACTCGAAATATGAATAAAAACGCATAAACATCAATACAACAAGTAAGTATAGTATTGACACACCCTGTATTATAAATTAAATTAAAAAATAAGTCAGTAGGTACTTTCAATTTTTTTATAGCAGAAGAATCTTAATGTTGATATCTATTTTCACCATTGTTATTTCATATAGATTTATAATAGTTTTTTCGAAACTAAGTAGGCTACGACAATGAATTTGGTGCGGAGTTCATATTTTTTATTTATTGACAGCGGTCAAAACATTGTTAAGAAGTGTTATATTATAATTCGAATTAAAGATTGCACTTTTTTCAATAGATATTAATATTTATTCAATTAAATCAATAGTTTATTTCTAATATTACCAAAATGTCGCTATTGCTTCACGTATATATTCTGTAAGATATCCTGACAGGAGACATTATGGCAAAGAAGTAGAGATTTGCCGACTACTTATATGTGGATTCTGTTGAATTAAAGCAAGAACATTGATTGAAGTCGTTTAAAACAAGGACGATGAAAACTACCAGTTTCTCTAAATCTTCTTGCCTTTCTTTTAAATACTTCTTTCCTTACATTTCTATTGAGTGTTAGATTTAGGCAAAAATTTCAGTAACTTTTATATGAAAAATCTAATTTAAAAAAACTTTTTCAGATTCACACATCTTTAATCCAGGGACGACCAGGTGCAAATGAAACTAGTCCAGAGCTTTCTGAATTTACGAAAGCTCGCTTTGTACGGCTTCGACTAATGGGACTACGAGGAACACAAGAACCAATGCCGCGATGGTTGGCGCAGGATATCTGGAAAGAAAAGCGGCTATTTTATTCTATCAGAGATATCAGCATTGGAGGTCAATGTGTTTGCAATGGTCACGCGGAAAATTGTCGACATAACGTTGCATCTGGCGTAAGTATTTTATTTTTTTAAATATGAATATTATTCTAATGTCTTTATTTTGTTCAGTAAATGGAAAATATGTACAACATTAACCTAATGTCATAATGCATATGAATTATTTTCATATAAAAAGAAAATTATTTTTCAGTTGACAGATGACAAAGAGCAGTAAGTTTTAAGAAACAGACCAATTTTCTAAAGGACCTTTTAACAAAATTTTACTTTTTTACTGCAATCATATTTCACTATATAACTGTAGAAGAAATCAACGACAGTTGTAATAATTTCTGTATTATTGAACACTTCATCGTGCTTGTTAACCACAATATTATGCAATTTTGGAAAACTGTTATTCAAGTTTTGGCTATATTTTAGCAGAGATAGAAACACGTGGCTTAATAATTTACCAAATAAAAACATAATTTATATAGCGATGTCAATTGTTACAATTGTAACTTCCCTGAAGACAATTATAACAAACTTTGGTAAAATTGTAACAACTTGACCAAACCTAAAAAATAGTAGGTAAAAAATATTATTTATTTCTTCAAAACAAGTAGGTATATAATATTGAATGAAAACTAGCATTTTTAAAGATGTGAAGCATAAGTATTTAATTACAATAAATGAAGTAATACAATAAATCATCGTCATTCTATTCAAGTCTGCGAGTCCGTCTTCATTGAGTGTGGCACGATAGCCATATCGTGGGGCTCCACCCTCCCCGCAGTAACTTTGTTGCCATACGTACCACTGCCCGTGATCCCTGAGAGGGCGAACAGTTGCACGCTGGTGGGATAACGAACCACCAAGCACGTTTTACATGTTGCCGCCAAGGAGACTACTCCTCTATCACTTATCTCCGGCTACAAGCATTTTTTTTACAGGCGCGCTTTCAGATTGTGACTGATCGTATAGAACCTGCAAAACCTCCTGTAGAGGTTATGTAGAACAAAAGCAGAGTGGTCTCACATGAGCTCGTCTCAGATACTAGAAACGCAACCCATTGACCAATGCGACTTATGGACTCGTCTCGGTTCTAGCACCCCATACCGACTACCGATACCTCAAACAACGGCCACATTACGTTCCTACGTACGGAACGTAAGAGCTAGATCGCGCTCTATGCCCATTGCTGCGATTCCGTCACCTCAAGCAATTTGCTCTCAGTATTGGATTTAGTAACTATATTGCTCTACTTCTCTTTACAATTCGTTTGTCTATCTCTTTTCCTTTTTTTTCCGTGTTCGTTATGGTTACTTCCCTATGTATTCAAATAATTTTTGACACTTTTTCAAAACTGTAGACAGCCTCTGCTCCTTTCTTTTTGATATAATTGTTATTATTTGTTATGTCTTCTTTCATTTCCGTGTATTGCGTTTTTGTTTGGTTTATTGTTAATTTGTACCTTTCCGCTTCTTCTGCAAATTACCGGAAAACTTTTTCTAAATGTTTTTTTTGTTCTCTTTAATATCACCACGTAATCCTCGTCCGCTATGTACTGTTCGCGGCTCTAAAAATAGTCCTGTTTGTGCTCAAATTCGATCTTTGTACGATTTGTTCTAATACTAGGTTGAATAAATTCGTTGATAGCGGATTCCTTTGTTTTAAACCATTATTCACTGTAAACTGTCTTGAAACTCATGTATTAACGTGTTTCTAAGTATTATTCTCACTGGCCTTATAAGTTTTGCTGGTATTTCTAGTATTCTCATAATCTCATCTAGCATGGTTTAATATATGGAGTCATATGCTTGTTTATAATCGATTAATAGAATATGTAATCTTCAGTTTTGTTCGTAGCTATTATTTTGTATTAATTTTAACATAATTAAATGATTGGTAGTTTTGCTTCCTGGTCTAAAACCTCCTTAATACTTTCCATCACTTTATTATCATATTTCATTAGTCTTTCCTAATAATTTTTGGATGACCGACGAGAAACTCGGCATGATGAAACAACGAAGACAAACCAAGAACAAAGACAGTCACAATTACAAAATCATTAACAATGAACTCAGAAAAAAGATAATAGAGACAAAACAAACTTACGATGAGGAAAAATGTAAAGAGATACAGGATCTTCAGAACAAATACGACCTATTCAACATACATAAAAAGGTTAAAGAAATGACAGGGTTGCAAAAAAGAAACCACAACACAAGTCTTTTAGACAAAATGGAAACACTATGATAACGACTGACGAAAAACTAAAACGATGGGAAGAGTATATGGAAGAGCTCTTCGACGACGAAAGAGGTAACCTACAAGACTTGTCTTTTGAGGACAGAGAAACAAGTGTAGAAATTACACAGGAAGAAATACTGTATGCACTAAAGAACACCAGAAACGGAAAAAGCCCGGGGCCAGATCAACTGTCTATTGATATCCTTAAAATAATAGAATGAATACATTGATGTCCTCTTAAAGCTTTTTAATAAAATTTATCAATCGGGTGACATACCCAACGAATGGTTGACCTTAACATTCATTTGTCTCCCAAAAAAGAAAAATGCTAGAAAATGCATCGACCACCGTACCATAAGCCTGATGTCTCACACACTTAAATTGTTTTTAAAAATCATTCATAAACGCATTTACAAAACAATTGATATGGATATTGAAGAAACTCAATTTAGATTCCGTAATGGCGTAGATACCTGTGAAGCTCTCTTTGCATTCAACGTACTAATCCAGAGATGCTTGGATGTGAACCAAGATATGTACGTCTGTTTTATAGACTACAACAAAGCTTTCGACAAAGTCCGCCAAAAAGAGCTAATGAACATCCTCAAAGCAAAACAACTACAACACAATGACCTTCGAATTATAACAAATCTATATTATAAACAGCAGGCACACGTACGTATTAATGAACACACATCAGAAGAATTCGAAGTTAAAAGAGGAGTGCGATAGTGGTGTGTATTGTCACCACTAGTATTTAATGCATACCTTGAAGAAATTATGAAAAGAGCTCTTGAGGGAGAAACAGCAGAAATCAAGGTCAATGGAAAACCAATTAACAACAGTAGATATGCGGACGATACTATCATAATAGCAGACAGCTACAAAACCTCCAAAACACATCAGAAGAATTCGAAGTTAAAAGAGGAGTGCGATAGTGGTGTGTATTGTCACCACTACTATTTAATGCATACCTTGAAGAAATTATGAAAAGAGCTCTTGAGGGAGAAACAGCAGAAATCAAGGTCAATGGAAAACCAATTAACAACAGTAGATATGCGGACGATACTATCATAATAGCAGACAGCTACAAAACCTCCAAAAGCTAATGAACAAGATAGTTGAGTATGCAGAAGAATATGGATTATCAATAAACATCAAGAAAACCAAATTTATGAGGATATTAAAAACCCAAAGTAATGGTGAAAGCCTGACAATTAACGGTAGTGCTTTAGAACAAGTTGAAAATTACCACCATCTTGGCACAATAATTAATCACAAGCACGTACAAACTTCAATAAAATGAGAAAGGTACTTTGTGCAAGAGAACTAAAATTGGACTTGAGAGTTAGGCTGGCAAGGTGTTATATTTTCTCGACCCTGCTTTATGGGATGGAAGCATGGACACTTAACGCGTCGACTGCTAAAAAGTTGGAAACGTTTGAAATGTGGGTGTATAGAAGAATCCTGAAGATATCATGGACCGAGCATGTAACAAACAACGAAGTCATGAGAAGAATCAACAAAAGAATGGAAGTATTGGAAACTATCAAGACACGAAAGCTGCAATACCTGGGGCATGTTATGCGTAATGAGAGATACAAACCTTCTTCAATTGATTATACAAGGGAAAATTACAAGGGATTATACAAGTGTAGGAAGAAGAAGAATCTCATGGTTGCGTAACTTGAGGGAATGGTACGGATGCACATCAGTTGAACTATTCAAAGGAGCAGCATCTAAGATCAGAATAGTCATGATGATTGCCAACCTCCGTCGCGGAGATGCCACGTGAAGAAGAATAATTTTTGCAAGTCTCTTATAGACCACTTCTAATAGTGCAATACTTCTACAGTTTTCGCACTCCGTTTTTTCTCCTTTTCTATAGATAGAACAAATTATAAGAGCGCTATTCCATTGTTTCTGTATCTTCCTTTTGACAAATTACTAATGTCAAGCGAAATATTCTTTCCTTTAATCTTTCGCCTACTTCCTTAATAATCTCAGCTGGGATACCACTTTCTCCTGCACTTTTGTTATTTTTTAGGTCTTATTATTATTTCTTCGACTTTATTCAAAATTGGTTCCTTGCACGTCTCTTCTTCATCTTTTCTTGCCAATTCTTATTTCCCTAGAGTTCCTCTCATTGGTCTGCATTTAATAGATCTTCGGAGTATTCTGCTCATCTTTTTAAATTCTCTGTTTTGTTTCTTTTCAGCTTCTTTGTTTCTGCAATATTGTGGATTGTTGTTTTTAGTTTTTCTGGATTTCTTATCTTCTTGGTAGAAATTGTTTACCTCTTTGTTTATGTAGGCTTTTTCTATTGTCTTCAATTGCTTTGCTTTTCTAGCTATTTTTTTTGCAAATTCTTTTAACTTTTCTTTTTCTCGCCACATTGTTTTCGATCGCATTTGGGGTATTTTCTGTATCTCTTTGTTTTTTCTTGCCAACTACACTCGTCATCGAACCAGTCTGGCCGTCTTTTTATATGCTCTCTTCCTATACACTTTTCTGCCGCTTCCGACATGACTATCTGTATGGTCTGTTATTCGTCTTCAATATCCTATTTGACTGGATTCTCTAGGTTTTTATTAATTTCTTTTCCTACATGCTTCTCTTGGAGGCGCTTAGGTTGAAAATTTGGTCTTTCTCTAACAGGTTTTGAAATTATTGTCAGTTCTTATTTTAATTTTGCTACTATTAGTGAATGGTCACTTGGTATCTGCCTCTCGGTAACTCCTGAAATTGATTAATGTCTTATCATGTTTGCTTTCAATGAGGACGTGATCTATCTGATTTTTTATTTTTACATTGAAGTCCAT